AATCGTTTTCTTAAGATTTTTTTTTTTTTTTTTTTTTTTTTCATCATCTCGTAGCATCCATTTTGTCATATCTGCTAGTCTCTTACTTCTCCCACCTCATCATCATTTTCATATATTCTGCACTTCCGTAATAAGCCACTCCTGCTGCTCTTTGCCAATGTACCACGCGGCGGATCCAAGAGTCTGAGTTCAGTGAAGTTACCGAAAAATGTACTATTTTGCAACATTACAATCCCACATCCTTTGACCGTGGCTTGCTGAACTTCATATTCCATAGAATTACTTGCGCAAGAGTATATCATTGAAGTGCCTTAAGGTAGGGAAGGAGGGATAATTATGCATTTATCTAGATCAGAAGGTTTGATGAGTTGATCAACCGATTAATCAATTAGTGGATCAATTGATTTTTTTTATTTTTTTATTTTTTTTTGAAGGTTTGCAAAAGTTGGCGGGAAAGTAAGGTGAGTTAGCTATGATTCAAATATCAGAAGAGTGATGATAAGAGGATACCGGAGTTTGAGTGTAGGGAAAGGTTGGAATGAAAGCAAAAGTTGATTACAGAGGCTAACTGCCAATTGGGTATGATGCAACATGATTGAGTCGGTCGATCAGATGGTTGATCGGTTGGTTGAGAAGTTTTAGTTCATCCATGTTCCATTTTTGGCGAAAACTGAAAAACCATCAGATCGATTGTAGTTGAGTGAAAACATGCATTCAAAACAATCGAAAGAAAAAAGTTCATTGAATGTTTTGGATTCCTGGAAACCATAAGAACTGAAAAACATTGAATAGTGGTAATTGCGAAAAGACCGAAAAAATGTTTGAGCACGAAAAGATGATCAAAACATGCATTAAAAACAATTTGAGCGTTATTCTATGTCAATGGCATGCACAGTCTTATCGTTGCTTGAAAACACTTTGGATTACTGTCTATGTGTCTATTTAACGTGCAACGAAAAAGTTTCAACGCGGTTGTACCCGTTCAATGGGCCTCGGGGCCCCGTTGAATGGCCCTCGGGGCCCCGTTGAATAGTACAACGGGGCCTCCCGTTGAATACTATTCAACGGGGAGGGCGCATTGAATACCCGTTGAATCCCCGTTGAATACCCGTTGAATCCCCGTTGAATCTTAATTCATTACCCGTTGAATACCTGTTCAACGGGGAGGGAGCAAAAAAAAATTAATCCCGTTGAATCCCGTTGAATACCCGTTGAATCCCTATTGAATCCTGTTGAATCCCCATTAAATCCCGTCGTTTTTTTTTTTTTTTTTTTGTTTTTTTTTGCCTCTAACCGATCCTAGAACTGTGAGTCGTGGGTGTCCTAGGGTGTTGTAGAGGTCAGTCAGTGTGTGCACAATGATCACCTGGAACTGTGAGTCGTGGGTGTCCTGGAATATGAGACCACCTCCCAACCCATCCTTGTGTTAATACTGCTAGCGCACCCCCTATCCCACTATTCTACCTCAGTGTGACCAGCACTCAGGACAATTGCCCTACCAACGGGCAGGCAACTTGGACCGAACAACAGTGATAGGCACCAGGGGTGATAGATTGCCCAACCCTTGGTGGAAGCGGAATCGGACGACCCTTGTCAAACGGGAACTTCGGACTCCAGACCCAGACAATGAACTACAGGCCCCATATATATATATAGCCACCGCGCAAGCGAGTGAAAAAAAGAGACAATTGCGCCTGTGACCGCTGCACACTTGGAATTCGCTGGAAAAACTGTTACGGATTCCGCCAGGGCTCGATCCCTGGTCTATCCTTTTGTTGTTTCGGCTGCATCCCGTTTTCGGCTTGACACCCTTTTTCCAAACCCCTACTTTGGTACCGTAGGATTTTGGACAACAGGCGCCATGCAGCAGTTCGAGCGCCACTTTCAAAATACTGCATTTTTCAGTTCTGCCCTCGGGGACTTTGCAAAAATGCCCCTGGTACCGTACGTTTCACCGGTCCTAATACTGGCTCCCCGTACGGTACGGGGGACCAGTCTCATACCAGTTTTCTGCTGCTGTACTCGTACTTAGTGTGACTTGTTGTTTGGGCATTCGGAATCCAAGACTTCGACTTTGTGCCTTGCCACTGTGTCTGCGTCAGACCATCAGTCTGAGTCCGTCGTGTCAAGTGAGTGAGTGTGTGTGCGTGCTCTCACTCTCTCCCTCTCTCTCTCCTCTCCCTCGGCTCACCCTCAGCCTCACGCTCATTACACTGGTATCGGAGCGGTTCGAACCCGCCCGACCTACCCTGCTTCGACGTCGTCACCTGGCCATCATCAACATCATCGTCGAGATCGTCGTTGCCGTGCCACGTCATCATCGTCATCATCGCGATCATCGTCATTGTGCCCCATCATCATAGTCATCGACGGGATCGCCGCTGTATTGCCACGTCATCATCACCGTGCCCGTCGTCCTCGTCGCTGCGCCGCGCCATCCTTGTCATCGCCCGCGTTCCCTTCGCGCAGATAAGTAATCAACGATAATTTTTTTTTTTTTCTTCTTATTCGTCTTCCTCGTTTCTTTTCTTCTTTTTCTTCTTCTTTTCATCATCAGTTTCTTCTTCTCCCTTTTTCTTCTTCCTCCCTTTTCTTCTTCTTCTTTAAATTTTCTTCTTCTCCTTCTTCTGTTTTACGCCCGCCCACCCCCTTTTTCCCACCACGCTCTACTCCTTTGCGCGCGCTCTTCTTCTTCGTGCGCTTCCTCTTCTCCGCGCACGTGCACACCCCTCCCAATCCCAATCCTGACCCCACTTCCTCCCGAGTTCCCCGATTCCGCCCACCCCCTGCGCGTCCCGACTCCTTCCCCCACGCACCCGTGCGCACATTCCCTTCCCTTCCCCCCCCCTCTTGCGCTTCTTCCCCCCCATCGCACTACTTCCCCCCGCTACCCCACACTCCGCCTCGTTCT